CCCCCCCCCAGTGTTGTGTGAAAATATGGAAGCCAGGTTTTGTTCATCCAGCATATTGGAAGGGGAGCAAATAAAGAGGAAATCTGGCTAATAAAAGTATTAGATAGTCAATGGGGAACCTAATGTTAAGATGTTTGAATGCAGGACATGTTAGTAACTGGGATCAGGATCTGATGAAGAGACATGGAAACTGTTTCTGCCTGGAATCTACCAGAACTTTGAACTGTCTATCATGTGGATGAGGTTGTCTTGCTTCTGGACCCAAGCAAGCCCATGAAGCAAATACGGATCATCATGTAGGCATGAGTACAGTCTGTTGTGTGTTTTTTCTTGCCCATACTTCTACCTTGTCAAGCCCAAGATTAAGTTTGGTTAATAAGTCCAAATCTAGTCACTACTTGACCTGTCTTGCACATAGGGTGGGAGATTTGTTAATTTTCTGTGATATGGAGAAAACGGTCATGGTTTATTTTTTTTTCTGTAGTTTGATGTTCCTCTTACTCTTTGGTCTTCCTGTTTTGTATGCAGTGTTTAGGTTCTTGAGGACTGAAATGCTTGGAGCTAATGGAAAGCTTTGGGCTCAATTTATAATAAGCCGGGATATTAATGGGCCATGATGCAAGTATAGACAGACCGTGAAGTATAGCGGTGTCTCCTGGCATTACACTTTTTCTGTTACTGAGAATGGAGCTGCATATGACTTTCAATGGCAAATTGGACCTCTTGCAAAAGAGACTTGCTTTAGAGTCAGTCCTGTGACACAGGTAATAAAAATGTCTCAGCAATAATCTGTCTCAGGATTTTGCTGCCAGAAGACTTACACCGCCTTGTGGAGGGAGGCATTTACAAACAGTAGGTGAAGGGCAGGCATGGCAGCTGCGGTTTGCTGCAGTCACCTCAGGTTTCGTGTAGCTGTTGTGTACTGGAGGTGTCTCAGATGCAACAGCAGATTCTGGAGAATCTTTGCACCAGCAGCTTCTTAGTGTCATATTTCTCTCCAGGAGATACATCCATAGTCACGCATTGATATCGGAAATAGCATGACCAGCAAATGCAGTCCAAGGGTTTATTTACTATTGTTTTGAATCTCCTGGTACTGTCCACCTCTGCAACCTCCTGTGGCAACCGATTTCGAAAGTTCATTGCCTGCAGTGTAAAAAAAGTGCTTGTTTTTGTCTGTTTTGGTCTGATCTGCAACTATTTCCATGGAGTGTCCCCTCCTCCTAATGCTGATGGATTTCATGGAATTATAGAATCATAGAATAGTTTGGGTTGGAAGACACCTTTAAAGGTCATCTAGTCCACGCCCCCTGCAATAAGCAGAGATATCTTCAACTAGATCAGGTTGCGCAGAGCCCCATCCAACCCGACCTTGAATGTTTCCAGGGATGGGACATGTACCGCGTCTCTGGGCAACCTGTTCCTGATTTGGGGAGTAGCAGTTCTGTGTTCATCATAACCACTGCCTTTGTGATTTACTTTGATCAAACTCCACCTCTAGCCTTCAAGCACTAATTCAGTTGTTCTTACACCCCAAGAACATGGGCTCACTATGATACAAGTTTAATTCAGACTCAGACAAGATGTTACTGCCTTCTACTATGTGATTTGAACTTCCATGAAGTCTGATTCTCGAACTCTTCCCCAAGCCCTGCTTCTCTGCCTCTTTTCCTTCCCAGGTAAGGAAAATGGTAGAGAGTTAGGAAAAGCTGGTAGATAGATGTTGAAATCTTCATTGTCTCCAGCCCCTGAAGTCTTTTTGTTTATACGTTCACAAGTAACACTAGAATACAAATTGCTGGGAATTTTCCATTGTGGATGGGGTACGCCACTGGGCGACTCCTCAGGTATGTGATGTTAGTGGCAGCTTTCACTTTGGGGATAGTGAGTCCATCCCTACTAGAACTTTATAACCCTCAGTAAAAATTATGACACCAAACTGAGTCCAGTTGGTGGCCCTCCTCTGGACCCACTCCAACAGGTCTATGTATTTCCTGAACTGAGGACCCCAGAGCTGGACACAGTACTGCAGGTGGGGTTTCACCAGAGCGGAGTAGAGGGGCAGAAACACCTCCCTCGACCTGCTGGCCACGCTTCTTGTTACACAGCTCAGCATCAATTGGCTTTCTGGGATGTGAGCGCACATTGCTGGCTCATGTCCAGCTTTTCACCCACCAGTACCCCCAAGTCCTTCTCGGCAGGGCTGCTCTCAATCCCTTCACCCCCCAGCCTGTATTGATACCGGGGGTTGCCCCGACCCAGGTGCAGGACCTTGCACTTGGCCTTGTTGAACTTCATGAGGTTCACACGGGCCCACTTCTCAAGCTTGTCCAGGTCTCTCTGGATGGCATCCCGTCCCTCTGGCATGTCGACCGCATCACTCAGCTTGGTGTCATCTGCAAACTTGCTGAGGGTGCACTCGATCCCACTGTCTATGTCATTGATGAAGTTATTAAACAGTACCGGTCCCAATATGGAACCCTGTGGGATTCCACTCGTCACTAATCTCCATCTGGACATTGAGCCGTTGACCACTACCCTCTGGATGCGACCATCTAACCAATTCCTCACCCACCGGACAGTCCACCCATCAAATCCATACCTCTCCAGTTTAGAGAGAAGGATGCTGTGGGGGACCGTGTCAAAGGCCTTACAGAGGTCCAGCTAGACGACATCTGTAGCCCTTCCCGTGTCCACTGATGTAGTCACTCCATCATAGAAGGCCACTAGGTTGGTCAGGCAGGACTTGCCCTTGGTGAAGCCATGCTGGCTGTGTCAAATCACTTCCCTATCCTCCATGTGCCTTAGCATAGCTTCCAGGAGGATCTGTTCTGTGATCTTCCCAGGCACAGAGGTGAGGCTGACAGGTCAGTAGTTCCCAGGGTCCTCCTTTCTACACTTTTTAGAAATGGGTACAATGTTTTCCTTTTTCCAGTCACTGGGGACTTCACCTGACTGCCATGACTTTTCAAGTATCATGGAGAACGGCTTGGCAACTACATCAGCCGGAATATATAAAGGGAGTTTATAAGAAAGATGGAGAAAGACTTATTTCCAGGGTCTGTAGTGACAGGACAAGGGGCAACATTTTTAAACTGAAAGAGGGTAGGTTTAGATTGGACATAAAGAAGAAATGTTTTACACTGAGGGTGGTGACACTGGAACAGGTTGCCCAGAGAAGCTGTGGATGCCCCTTCCCTGGAAGTGTTCAAGGTCAGGTTGGATGGGGCTTTGAGCAACCTGATCTAGTGGAAGATGGGTCTGCACATGGCAGGGGGTTGGAATAGGTGATCTTTAAATGTCCCTTCCAACCCAAACCATTCTGTGATTCTATGAAAAATCATTCCAACTCTGACTTTCATCCTGCACTAAGCAGGGAGATAGCTGGGCTAGCTCAAAGCCTCACGTCCCAGTACACTTCAGCAGGCATACTTGCTGCAGGGATTCTTACCTGCTGACAGGACCCAGACTCACCACTGACAGAGGAGTACACCAGGACAGAGACTGAAAAAAAAATGCAGTGAGCACAGAACTGCTTGCAGATCATCCTCCCATCTGTTGTTCTCTGCAGAATGTTTTCCAGATTTTTCTTGAGCCTGCAGTCACAACTTGTGTTATGTCAGAGTGCCACCCATGTAAATTACAGTGCAGTTTCACCAAGTATCTGTTGTCTCTTTACATAAAATCTTGCATGTGGAGGCTCAGGTCCAGTAGTGAGTTGCTTTAACAGAACCTGTTAAAAGTGTATAAAGAAGAATTTATTTTCCTAGAGGCATGTGCCAGAACACAAATGAAGCATCCAGTGTGGAAAGATACCTAGTAGTTGCCACCTTGCACCATGGTTAGTCTCTATTTCTTATAGGAAGCCTTTTCTTTGAAAAAAATTCCTAATGTCTTGGGATTTTTATCCTAGGCAAAGGGACCCCTTTTTCTTTTCTGTGGCTAGAAGGGAATGAACCCATTCTGCCACTTCTTTTGTTCAAAATTAATGGAGCTGTTGTATTCTTCTCTTAGCGCTCTGATCAGAGGAATGGTGTTTGTAGGTCTGAATTCTGTCAACTTTATTTCATGGTTATTTGACAGTTTTCATATGCCCACAAGGGCATATGTCCCTCCATGAGATGCACTTCTACTACATGATGTGTTTTCAATAAAAGTCACGAGTGGTCAAAAGGCAGCTGAACATTAGGAATGATGAAGAAAGGGACTGAGAACACACTGCAGAGACTCGCACATGTCCTAACACCACTTTACTCCCTCACTGTGGCAGCAATTGGACATCTATTGTCACCCCAGCCTTCTGATACCTGGCATCATCTCACTTCAGCATGTAATAATTTGGTTTCTTAGCTATTTGCTCTGGATTTCATAATTTTTCTGTTATTTTACTGACAGATTTGAAGAATGTATGAGATGCCTGTTCCTTCACAGAAGACACACGGATATGTCCAATCCACAACTTTATGCAATTCTGGCAGTTTAACTGATGGTTGGCACTGTAGAAAGGCTCACTGAGGACATGGTTGTTAGCCTCACAATCTAAGATTGCACTTTGTTAATACCTTGGTACTTTCAGTACTGAGATGGATTGAATCTCTTTGGCACGTAGTCTTCGCTGAACAGTATTACTTCTATTTTGCCTGTGATTTTATTCTATGGCTTCTTTCTCAGGCATCTCTGTCTTTACTATGTCCTTGTCTTTACAATGTGAAAAAAACAGGCCTGGTATAAAGACCAAAGCCATGAATTCTTTGGCATCTTGTAACTTCCTTCTATTTACACTGTAAAGTAAGATCCGTCTTTATAAGAGAGGCAAGTGGTTCATGCAGTTAGATCTAAAGAGACAAATCTTGTCTTTATTGTAATTGGCATTTTACTTCTCCACAGTCCTGGAAAGAGCTGGACACCAGCTACCGAAA